AAAAAAAAAACCAATTCACCCTTCCCCTGCAGGAGCTGCCTCTGCTGCTCCCCCCAGGGCTGCAGTGCAGGGAGATCCTGGCATGGATCTGCCCCCTCCGCGCAGCCGGGGAGCTGCGCCCCGCACCGGGGTCTCACCTGGGTCGCGCTGCGGGTTGCACGTGTGTCCGCTCTGTCCCGCAGCAGCCGCGCAAGGGGTTTATAAGCGCCCGGAGGAAACTTCTGGAAATGGCTGAGAGCAGCTGGAGCTGGGACCATCCCCATCCCGCCCCCGTCCCCGCCCCGGTGCTGGGGCAGGGAGGGAGGGAGGACCAGGCACAGCGCCCGCCGGTCCCCCTGGTCCTCCCCTGCTGCAGCCTCCTGCATTACAGGTCTGGGCAGCGATTCCCAGGCTGTGCGGCTGTCCGTCCTCTCAGAGGGGGTCCAGACCCTTGGGAATGGGGCTAAAAACTCCCTGCCCCCTCCTCTGCATGCAACTATTGAGTTGGTCTAATAAAAGACATCGCATCTATTCAAAGCAGCTTGCCCGCTTGTGTCCTTCCAACCAAAACCCTCCTGAGTCGCACGCTGGCACGTGAAAACGAGCTGCTTTTTGTTCGGTTTCAATTGAGCTCCCCCTCGGTTTCCGTGTCGGCCCCCAGTCCTTGCACTGCGACGCAATTATTAATCCCGAGTGACTTTCCCTTCGTTTCGTAGCCTTCTCATGGCCCCTCTCAAGCGGCTCTTTAAACCAAGCAGGCCTGGGACAGTGCTGGATTTAGGTTTATGGCAGCTTAAGTTTAGGACCTCGCAATATGAGGGGCCTCTAAAAAAAGAACCGCCCCCCCCCCCCGACTCCATATCGAGCTTTATAATAATCAGTTGGCAAATAAAGGAGATATGGGGAAATGACTGTCTAAATATGGACATCAATTATTGTTTTTTTCTTTGTGCCGTTGCATATATGCAAATATAAAGCTTTTGTATTTCTATTTTCAGTGTCCTTTTTGTGAGTGTTATTTTTATCATCTCGGGTCTCTTCGGCTGGACGTAGTTTAGGGTCTCAGCAGGTCATAATCCAGCACTGCATATGGAAACCCGTCCATGCCGCAAACTATCCTCGTGGCCCGTCTCCTCTAGCTCTGTTGTCCTTTTTGAGGGAGATGTAGGGTGCAGAGCTGGGCACGCATGAGTGAGGCGGGGGGGATGCAAGTGTTGGAGGGTTTGTAGGGTCGGGGGCTTATAGACAGGCTGCCCCCATGCCCCCACAGGTAACAGCGGGGCTGGCTGGGGGTGCACATTTTTTTGAATAATGTACTTTGTGTTCCAGATCAAATGAGCCAAATTGTTTCCAGATCATATCGATTGAGCAGACCTCAAATTGTTCCAAAAATCATGTCGACTGAGCGGGAGGAACTCAGCACCACGTACGGCGCTACAACCAGTGGGCATCCTCCATCCCACACCTCTCACCCTAGGTAGGATTTCAAATCATGAACGACACATGCACCTGGCGGCGGTAAGCGGGAGCTCCCCCAGATGCTCCCAAATCGATCGGTGAGCCCAAGCCTGCAGGTCTTGGGGTTTGGATGCCCCCAGATACTAAAGGCATGCATCCTCCATCCCAGACTCTTAAATCTGGGCCTTCGGGTGCTCCCTACACTTGATTTTAGCCTGTTCCAGTGCTTCACTGCCCTCCTAGCGAGAAAGTTTTTCCTAATATCCAACCTCAGCTTCCCTTGCTGCAGCTTGAGCCCATTGCTCCTTGTCCTGTCATCTGCCCCCACTGAGACCAGTCCAGCTCCATCCTCTTTGCAACCCCCTGCAGGGAGTTGAAGGCTGCTATTCAATCTCCCCTGCGTCTCCTCTTCCTCAGACTTAATAAGCCCAGTTCCCTCAGCCGCTCCTAAGAAGCCACGTGCTCCAGCTCTCGAACCACTTTTGTTACCCTCCGCTGGACTCTTTCCAACTTGCCCACATCCTTTCTGTAGTGGGGGGCTCAAGCAGTCTTCATGATGCTTTTGTTTGCTTCTGCAATTGCTTTGCTCCCCTACTAAGCCTGGTAGGAGAATGCACAGCCGTTCCCATGGTAGAAGATAGCATCGATTTCTAGGATCGGAGCATCAATTTAGTCATCTGGCTTAGGACTATGATATCAGGTCCGTTACCTTGAAAGCACCTTGGTACAGGGGCCGTCTTTCTATCTGCTTAAAAGTGCTGTGCTTCCTTGCATGGCTAATATTTATCTGTGCTCATGGATGGACTAAAAATCAGCCTAGTCTTTCTACCCTAGACAAACAGGTGTAGATGCAGTGCCAAGTAAGTACTACAGTAATACGTTGCCTCTTTTGAAGCTTTCAGATCTCCCCTAGCAAAATGTTTTGTCAGCTTAAATAAACCAGGTTCCCACAGGGCCAAGAACAAAACGAACGATACCTTTCTGGTCTGATTCATGCTCTTGGCTTAGTTACCAGCAAAAGGTGATAACAGTTATAATAGATAACGGGTAGGTAACAACTCTGTCATTTGGCCTGGCTTTTGTTTCTGACTGAGGGGGAAAATAGCCTCTTTTAAAGAAGTTCATGATAACTTTTATTATGGATGAATGGATCCATGGGTTTAATTTGCACAAAAGCTGTTATAAGGGAGAAGTGCCCCAGGGGTTCAGCTCCTTGGATGCTTTCTCTGATTCATGGAAGTCATTTCAGCCACGCAAAGGACAGGTTCCTGCTTTGGTGGGACAAGAGGAAGGTTGGCACTTAGGGAAACAGGTATCCAAATGCAACAGACTTCCAGATTTTGACTCCGCTGGCATTTGCAATCCGGCATCTAAAGGAAGCTGTAATTATTACTTCTGTCAACAGGCCTCACTCAAGCAATTGCACCCATTGATTTCAGAGGGGTCTCTTTAATGGAGCTGCAACCAGGATTCCTGCTAGGAGCATCTTGCAAGAGGTAGAGACCCTAGGGGATTTAGGAGCTGGATCGGAGCACTTTCATCTCTGTGGAGTCAAGGGAGCTTAGAGTTTGGAAGATGATGGTGCTTAGGTATCATAAGAGAGATTCAGCCCCTGCCATGATGGAGCCAGGGTTTGTATAGATGCCGCCAGTGTGAAGTGTCCCACGGAGTAGGATTGGTACTTCTCTTTGTGTGTGTGTTGATTTTTCCCTTATCCTTTCTTCTGGGCTGTATTAGCTTGTTGCCTCGTGGGGGGAGAGGTTGCTCTCGTATACTTGGAGGAACCCCAGTAGCTTCAGTGGCATTGCCTTGGATTTGCATCAGTGTAAAAGCACAGGATCTGGCCCCAAATCCCCTGTTTTTCTGGCCACCATCTGTTGTAACACGCTCCTTGCTTCTTTTCTGTTGTCACCTTTTGCCACAGCATCTTCAAAGCTGGGTGCAGCTGCTATAAAAACACCCAGCCCAGTGCAGTTGCATGCAGAAAGTAGGTCAAGTATTATTTGAGGCAAAAAAAAATAATAATAATTAAAAAAAAAATACCGTGGGCTGCTGGATGAAACCAGAGGCTGTCCCTTTAAAATTTCCAGGAAGCACTTCTGCAAGCAGCCCTACCATCAGCTGGGCCTCCGCCTTCCCCAGGGCTTCTCTGTAATTACCTCTCACTAAAAGAAGTTTTCCTAGCAAAATTAAAATCCAAAGCACTCAGTCCTTGAAGCCCTTTTTGACTCTCTGACAAATGCCTTTGGATGAGTTGATGTGCTTATGCATCTTTAACCCGTCCAGTGGTCTCAATTTGGCAGAGGTCATTTTTGGCAGCAAACGGATAACGCTTTATCTTTGATTTGAAAATGCAGCACAGCGCAGAGCCGTTCGCCCCGTTCAATTTTTTGAACGTCTATGTTCCCCCTATTCCTCTTAGCACCAAATTACCGGTCATTTACCCTACAAAGCCAAGCAGGTTTTGTGCACGTAACTCTCAGCGAAAAGATGCTCATAATAAACCTGCCGCACGATAAGTCCTCCAGAGTGAACAAACTCTAAGCCGCTGCAGCAGCTTGGATTTGATCTATTAACTGTTTGCTGCGGCTTGTTCGGCGCAGCGGGGCCTGGACTCAGCATGATGCACACAAAGCATAAGATCTCTTTTGACGTGGAGTGGATCCCAGTGCTGCGGCTCCCCTCCCCCCCACTGCCACGTTGGACAGTCTGCAGCAGGCGGAGAGGGCTGGGAGAGGGAGAGCAGAGATGTTGGGAGTGGTTTCTTTCCTCCTCTAATGATAGAGCTTGGCTGCCAAAAGGCACATTTACTTCTGGAAGCCCCATGGCGATAAGCCCTTGCTGCACGGCAGAGGCCTGTATTTCTTTCCCCATGATCTCTCTGAAATGTGCTCATTTGCCCTGAATGGAGCTGGAATTAAATGTTTATTTTTTCCCCCCCTAAAAAGTTGTGTTTCGGCCCAAATCATCCAAATCAGCTCCGAATTCAGCGGAGCTCAGTCATTCGAGTCTGCGGTGCTACCGCCGGCAAGTCTCCTCCGTCCCAGACTCTTCCACCTGGATACTCCCAAATCCATGGCAGGCATCCTACATGCAAGCCTCAAGCCTGGAGGCTTTGGGGTTCAGAGGCCCCCTAGTTTTGCTTGCCTCTAGCCAAAAAGCTGAAGGAGCAAGCTAGGGGAAAGCCCAAGAGCAATCCCCCATCACCATAAATGATGTGAGATCCTCACATTTGGAGGCGTTTGTAGCATATGCCTGTATCCTCACATTTGGAGGCATACTCTTGTAGCGGTCCACAGTGCAAGGGACAGGCCTTCGCCCTCAACTACACCGAGTCATTCAAGGCTGAGAAGAAGGGTATTTCCTCGGCCGGGCAAGCAAAACCACCTAGGCCAAAACCCACCCCGTTATGTGCAGAGCAGAGATCCCTGCCCTTAGGAAAGAGCGTGGTCATATACATTAAAAATCAGAGTTATGGAAGAGTCTGCTTTGGCTCCTGTCTAAGGCGGGATGAGCTTTGCCCTGATTGCAATGGCAAGAGCTTTGGGTCTTCGACTGTGCAGCATTTGGAGAAAGGGCTACCTTTTTTGCCCTGTGTTTGTGCAGCCCCTAGCACTGGTGCTCCCAGGCACTACAGCAATGCAAATAGTAAACAATATCAAACCCTTTCTTGCCAATATTACATTCAGTGAGAGGTGGGACCTAACCGGTTCCCTTAGACCTAAATCTGGATCCAAACGTCCTGACTCACGTCTGCAACAGGACCGGATGAGACTACTGTATGGGCCCTGCTCACCCTTTGGAGAAGTTTGGTTTGGTTCTAAGGGCAGATCGTGGGTCCTCAGTCCCGAATTGGGAAAGGAAGATTTGACCTTGTATAAACAGTGGAAATGCATCTTGTTAAATGCAGCCAGCTCTGGGGAGGAGGGCAGCCACGCTGCAGGTTAGAGACACAAATCAAAGGGCCTCTGTTCTTCGGGATCATCCATGCTTATCTGCCTCTGAGGGTGGAAGGGCTGAGTCAAGCCGTCTGCAAATCCAGGTCGTGGTCTGGGGAAGTCTGTGCCTTGCAGCCCTGTTGCTCAGCCTGCTCCATCACCTCTCCCTCCGGCTATCTGCTAGAGATCACCCTGGAGGCACCACCGCTCTGCAAGACAGAGCTGGATGCTGTTGGGCTCCCAGCATCTCTGCAATGCACTGAGCACCCTCGGCTCCCACTGCCTTGAATGGAGCTGCAGGGACAGACCCGGGCCTGGGTTAACAGAGAGGCAGAACCGCGGGTCAGGCACAGCAGGGCCCCTGCCACCCTTGCCTCAACCATCCCGTTGATCAGTAGACCGTAAGTGTGTGCTCCAGCCCTCAGGATGGCCTGCGCCCTATTGTAGCCCTGAGCAACTGCTTGAAACGCAGCTAATTTTAAACTCGCACAGCTCCTCCCCGCCCGGCGGCAAGGGTATTTACAGCCTGTCACTGAGTCAGGCTTTGCCAGGGAGTTTATCTGCATTCCAGCCTCCCTTCCCGTCCCTCCTCCAGCCTGGAGCCTTAGCCTGACTTGAATGCTTTAACGGCACCTGGCTGCCGCTGGCCTGAGCTGCCGTTCGCGCAGCTCCTCGGTTCTTTGCAAATCCTGTATCTCCCCGAAGGGGAAGGGACCTGTGGGTGGGGTGCTCAGTATCAGGCCTGGAGAGAGTGCAAAGTGTAAAACACACTTAAACTGCACCTTATACAGTCTGGTCATACTTACTTGGCCATGACCGAGAAGGTGGTTTTTCCAGGGTGAGCCCTATGCATTGCACTGACCCCTGTGAGTTTCCCCACATGTGGGAAACTTGACTTCACAATTTTGTGGCAATGGGGACTGTGTTCATGCTTCCCCCGTGGCTTGCTCCTCGGCCTTTTGGCTAGGAGCAAGCAAGACTAGGGGACAGCTGAACCCCAGCGCTTCTGAGTTAGGGGCTTGCAGGTAGTGTGCCTGCCATGGATCTGGGGAGCATCTGATAGGCCTGAGCAGGAGGATACTTGCCCGGGGGTAGAGTTATACTGATATACAGCTACACCTTGCTTAACGTCGTCACTACGTTCTTGAAAAATGTGACTTTATGCAAAACGATGTTAAGCGAATCCAGTTACGTCGCAGTAGTTACCTACTGGCAGGCGGCGGCCAAACAACGTTATAACCAAACATTGCGTGACTTTAAATGAATATGTTCACTAATAGATCAGCAACTTCATAATGAAACGATGTTAACTGGGACGACGTTAAGTGAGGAGCACCTGTATGTGTGTACATATATATATCTCCTGCAAAAAGAGCTCTACAATGCCACAACTTATCCAAGCTGATGATCCCAAACACAGTTGTGGCTCAGGCATCTGACCAAACACAAGCACTCTCTAACCTGCAAGGCATCTGTTTTTGCAAGTGCTGCTTTGTGTCGTCTCAGGCTGCCCAACGAGTCCGTCCAGGAGCTGAAGTAGGCATGTGGGGCTGGAGACAGGCCTGGTTGGCCAAAGGCTCAGGCAGCTTTTTCCTTATGGGTTTTTTTCCCTTAGAGGCAGGGAGGGGACATGTTACATGCCCCGATCCATAGAGGGATGGATGCATCGCTGCTTGTAGCGGTGGGCATGCTTAGTTCCAGCTGTAGTAGCTCCCGCATTTAGCCATGGAGGTCTCCATCTCAATTCCCTGGCACAGCCAAAGTGGGGGTCTTCATGCCTCCTCTAGCCCTTGAGGCGGCTCTATGGCAAGGTACTGCATCCGCACCAGATCAGAGCTTGCCCTGTTCTCCAGTCATCCACGCACATAAGAGTGAGGGAAAAGCAGAAACCTACAGAAGAACTGGCACTTGACTGAGAAGGCCAATAAATGCCTCTGGGGCTCATCTACACACTTCCCGATGCCACTAGCCCTTGTATACATAGACATCAAGGAAGGAGTATGGGTGCAGTCATGCAAATGAGGTTATGGGAGGTTAGCACACGGGATGTTAGAATGGGCATGGCTATGCTGACACTTGTCCTACACCCATGGGTACTCCTGGTGTGCACAAGATATTTCCTATAGCCAGAGCAGAGTACTTCTTGCAATTCATTGAAGATGCCGGGGCATTCTCATCTGAACTGTCTGATTCCCATAGGCTTCCCAGACATGCCAGTCTTTGCAGTGTCATTTCCATGAGGTCCAAGCCTGTGAAAGGCACGACTTTGGACCATCCTGGAGACCCAGTTCTTCCACTGAAGGTCAGAACAGACCAAGCCGTGACATCCGTTGAAAAATGGTGGGGGAAATGTCAAAGCTAGTTCTCTGTAAGCTGTTTCATGTGCCTGTTTTAGGATGAGGTACCTCATTTGCACAATAAATGGATGTCAAGCTGTGCTAATTCAGCAGTGATCTAGTTCCAATGTAAAACTGCCCTTGTTTCATTTTCCTTACTGCAGGATGAAAGTGAACATGTGAAGTGGTTATCATGGAGCAGCAGGCATGTGATAAGTTCCCCCCTCCCTGGCCTGTGAAGCAGTGTGACAAGTAGCTGACCCCAAACCTGGACTTCTGAAGTAGCTAACATCTGCATCTCAGTTTTGCAGCTGGAAGCCCCTGTGTGCAGCTGCTACAGAACCAGGACCCCCCTGTGATGGCTGATGGGTGTGAGGTGTGCTCACTTTATGCTAGCTGACAAGCACTGTTTAACGCTCCAGGGAAAGGTGCAAAATGCACAAGGTCCCGGCCCGTATGTCCAGCCGGGGGTGGGGGCAGGGGAGAAATTCCTGCAGTGCATTCAGACGAATATACTGGCATGTGTCAGGCCTCGTGTCCTGGGCAAATTACAGCCTGGGTTCCTGCATTCAGCCAAACTCCCCCTTGTAGTGGCACAAGGGTAGGTTGGTTATTTTTGCTCCCTGACTTCACCTGCTGCATGGTGCTACCGTGCCGTTGCTAAATAAGCAGTGCCTTTCAGTCCAGTGTATTTCAGGAGCTGGGGAAAGATTTTTGTAAAGGCCCTGGGCTTTGGTTTGGTCACTGGGTAAGAGCTGTCATTTCTGCACAGCCTGGGGTCAAAGGAGGAGGGGAAAAAGGGGTGGGAAGGAGGAAGGCAGTGAATGGGATAAAGGACATATCGATGGTAAATCCTCATGGCTCTTCCCAAAGTGACACGGGCTCACAGTACGGACTGCTTTGTCCTTTGACTGCGATGGTACCAGCATCCTAGCCTGCAGGCTGCCCCCTCACCCTATTGCTGGAAGTCCCCTTGAACAAGAAAAAGGAGGTGTAGCTTGCTGGGTCGTTGGTTGTAGCCATGTTGGTCTAAGGACATAGGCAAGCCAGGTTTTTTGGGTACATGCAATATCTTTTATTAGACCAACTGAGACTCCCTATGCCTGAAGAAGGGCGATTGCACCCGAAAGCTTGCTAAGAACTTGTCTTCCGACTATTCAGTTGCTTTAATAAAAGATATCACATCTGCCCAAAGCACCTTGCATAGATTCAGAGATTCATCGATTGTTAGGGGCTGGAAGGGACTTTGCAGATCATCAGGGCCAGCCGCCCCGCTCTAGGCAGGAAGACAACTGGGGTCAAGTGAATGGTGTAGCTTGCACAATTTCATTGCCTTTGTTTGGGGACTGCTTGGAGCTATTCCTACTGCTTCCAGCTCTTGGCCTGTGAAGGCTCAAACCAAGGTCCCAGCTGGGATCCTGCCTGAGGGGCTGGAATCTGAGCATGCATCGAGGTATCAGGACCTTGCAAGTGGTCCCTTGGTCTCTGATCATCTGAAGGGACCGATGAG